TTTGTTAGACACTGAGGTCTCTCTAACATTGTCTAAGCTATCAGTGTCAGGGCCAGAGAGAATGCTGCAGGACAGGGTGGATCACAGACTGTCATTCAAGTGTGCCAGGCACTTGGCCAGGCCCCTGGGTGGGTGGGAGGGAAACCAATGTGTGTCAAGAGCAGAGGTAGAGAGACAGTGAAAACTGTTAAAAGCTGTGGATTGGAGGCCTTAAAGGAGCAAAATCATCCAGCTAAGGTTATTCAGCCTGTTATATGCAGATCTGAGATTAGACTGGGGGACGAGGGTGCTGAGTTTGGAGCTCCTATAATGACTGAAGCTAAGGGTCTCCATTGCTGGGCCTGCCTTTCCTCAGGGACAGTAAGTGATCTGCCCTACTTCTGAGGAAGAAATGATCCCCTCAAAATGGGTACTCAGGTTTGGAATCTAGAGAGCTGCAGGCCTGGTGCTTATTGATTGGAGCCTGGCCTTGCAAGTGAGGGAAGAGCCCTTTGTTTGCCAAATGTGAGGGCAGAGGGTCCAGTCACTTCCTTGGTCTCCAGCTTGGCTCTCATACATTGCCCAAGTCCCCTGTTCTTTCTGTTCTTTCAGCCCAGCTGATACTTATAACCCATTAGTTACTGGGCAGTGGATATTGCAACAGCAGCTTTGAAGGAAGGGCTTTATAGTTGTCCTGTGCTGCCAACGAGGTCGCTGCCACCAGACCTTGGAGTGTGATAAGACGTGAGCCAGGGCAGGGTTTGGAGCATGGGGCCGATGCTCAGTGTTCCTCTGTGTGGGCCAGCCTGCTGAAGGAGCTTAGGTGAGGGCTTGAGAACTGCTCACTACCCTGTGAACAGGCTGCTGCTCAAGCATCAGTTGTTGGGCATCTGCAAAGCCCTGTGCCTGTTTAGAACTAAATCTGTCGTGACAAATGTGAGACATTAGCAATAAAGTGTTCCAGGATCTCTGAAAGAATAGTGTCTGGATGATTGAGCTGTCATTCCGTGAACACTTACTGCATGTCTAGCGTGAGTCAAGCACTATGTGTGTGCTAACCTATGTAATCTTCATGATGATTCTGTTAACGAAGCACCTCTGTTATCGTGGCTTGACATGCAGGGAAACTGAAGTGTAAGGAATTGTGGCATTTGCCTATGATAGAGCAGAACTCACCTCCATAGCCTGATGATCCAGAGTCTAGGTCGGTGATGGCAAACCTTGTAGAGTCTTCAATAAAACAAACAGCCTTCTGTGGTGCATGTGCCGGAGGTTTGCCATCCCTGGTCTAGGCTTTCAACTTTGTGGAAATGACTTTGTATTTTGTTGTTAAATTTGCCCACCAAGTGCCTCACACAGGTCTTGGTGGGTCCTGGGCGGCTGCCTAGAAGGTGCTAATACATCACCCAATACCAGGTATTTAAGGTAGCCGAGCACAGGTTGGAGGGCCCTAGAGAACTGTCTGTCTGCCTTTCCCCTTGTGTTCCCACAAGCCGTTGTGGCTTGGGCCTCTCTGAGATGATGTGTGGTTGCAGTTTACAAGTGGAGCATGGACTTTTAAAGTCACAGAACCAGTGAGTGACACATGAGGAATTTAAACTTAGCTGTCTTTATTCCAAGTTCATTGAGTTTCACCTTCACATATGCAGAGTTCAAGACACTTTTTTTCGGGGGGTGGTATTGGGGATCGAACTCGGGTCTTTGCACTTGTGAGGCAGGCAGCAGAACCACTGAGCTAAATCCCCAGCCCCCAAATTTTATTTTTTAAATGACTGTTTTATCTCTATTGTAATCTCTGCAACACACACACACACACACACACACACACACACACACACACCATTCTCAGCCTTTTTAAGGGTCTTGCTAAGTTGTCCTAGCTGCCCTTGAATTTGAGAACTAGTTTTTCAAGTAGCTGGGATATGGGTATGTGTCACTATGCCCAGCTATAATATCTCTTTAAAAAAAAACGTACTTTTTCAGGTCAGTTTGTGCTACATAGTGAGTTAGTGAGACAAAGAACAAAAACAAACAAACAAAAAACTTTTTGCCTGAGGGTTAATAAAGTACTGTTTTTTGTTTGTTTGTTTTTTGTGGTAGTGGCACATACCTGTAATCCCAGCAGTTAGGAGCCTGAGGCAAGAGAATCACTGAGTTCAAGGTCAGCCTGGGTTACATAATGAGTTCGAGGCCAACCTGAACTATATAGCAAGATTTTTATCTCAACTCCACTTTTTTTTTTTTCTTTTCACCTAGTCTTCCTAAGTTGTCCAAACAAGCTAGGCTCAAAATTGCCAGAGTGCTGGGATTTCAGGCATGTGTCACCACGCCCAGCTCAAAATATATCTTTAATGACAATCTACCTTTAAAAGATACTGTACTAATTCACAGATATCATAAGAGCCTCTTGTCTTTTGTACTCCATTTTCATTCATTTTTACTTTAACATGTGTTACAAGCCTAGGCATTACTGCTATTTTTGATTTATGAAGTAATGGATAATTTTTTTTTTTTTTTTTTTGTACCAGGGATTGAACTCAGGTCCTTGGGCTTGCAAGGCACTGAACCGCTGAGCTAAATCCCTGGCCCTTTAAACATTTCTTATAACTCAGATCCGCTGGTAATGAACACTCTTAGTTTTTGTTCGACTGAAAAAAGTCCTTTGTTTTTCCTGCATCTTAGGGAGGGAGGTATTTTTACTGAATATAGAATTCTGAATTGAAGCTGGGCATGGTGGTCCACACCTGTAATCCCAGTACTCTGGGAGAATCACAAGTTTGAGCCCAGCTTGGGCAGGGGAGCAAGATCCTGTCTCAAAAAAAATTCTAAGTTAACTTTTTTCTTTTAGCACTTTAAACATATTGTTTGACTTGCATGGTTTCTGATGATAACTTGGCTAAAAATCTGAATTTTGTCTCTGTTTATTTGATATCTTTCTTTGATTTTAAGACTTTTTTTCTTTGTCTTTGATTTTTAGAAGTTTAAATGTGCCCTGGTGTGATTTTTTCTTATGCTATTTAATATATGTGTTTGGGTCTTTTTCTTGGTGTTTTCTGAAATTCTTGGTAATTTGATATCTTTTGTTTTTTGGAGAAATTGTGTCTTTATGTCTCTCTCTCTCTCTCTCTCTCTCTCTCTCAGTGTCAGGGATCAACCTCATGGCCTGTGCATTCTAGGAGAGTGCTACAGTCATTGTATCTTAAAATATTGCTTCTGTTCTGTTTCTCTCTCATCTGCTCCTGTGACTCCAATTGGTGGGTTAGATCTTGGATGAATCCCCCTTTCTGCCTGCCCTTCTATCTTTTTTCTCCTGGACTGGATTGTTTCTATTGACCTAACTTCAAGTTTTAAGTTTTTCTCCCCTCTCTGTGTGTCAGGTCTGCTGAGAAGCCCGGCAAAGACATTTTTCATCTGTTAGTGTACTTTTAGTTTCTAGCATCTCCATTTGACTCTTGCTTTCATCTTTACCTTTTTTTCTGAAATTCTTTATCGTTTCATAGGTGATGTCCAGGTTTTATACTACAGCCTTTTTTTTTTAAATAAACTGAATTTTTATTGATACATTGTAGATAATACAATAGTTGCATTCATCAATGGTATCTTGTACCTTTACCTACAGCCTTTAACACAGTAAACATATATAAAAATTACTTTAATCTTCATTATCTTAAATTTACCATCAGGTATTGCTGAGATCTGGAACATCGCTGAGTCTGGTACTAGTGATTATTTTGTCTCTTGACAACATCACACCCACCCGCTTCTTTCTTGGTGTATGTGTATGCCTTGTAATTTTATATTGAATACCAGATATGTGTAGGACTGAAGAAACTGAAATGAATAACATGCCTTGATTGGGCTTCCCTCTTTTGTTTCAGGATATTAGGGGATTTGAACTAGGCTAGTCGGAAGTGAAGCTGGGTTGGAATTTGTTGTTGCTATGTTATGTTCAGTGCACCAGTTGCTTCGTAGTTCTCTCATGTTACCTTATGCATAGAGTGGGGACCAGGTTGCTGTAAAAATTTTCTTGGTGTTCCAGTTCTGCCTTCTGCCTTAGGTGTATTTCAGAGAAGGTTTCCCTGCTTGCTCTTCTTCTCTGTCTGTGGTAGGCTGCTTTGCTTGATGCTTGGTGCTCGCTAGTTTGGGAAAGGGCTTAGGGTGGCTTTTCTTTGTTTTGGTCCAGACTTTGGATTTAGGCAGGCTCTATGTCCCTGCATCTCAGAAGTGGGGCATTCTCAGTGATCCTGGCATTCTCCTAGTGGGAAGTTTCCTGCCCTTCCTCAGGGCAAAGGATTTTCTTTTCCCTTCTCTTCTACCCTGGAGGTAAAAGGTTTTCCCCCCTCCCCCGCTATCCCCAGAGAATTTTTTCCTTTAGGGAAGAAGTACTGGTTCTGGCCCTTCCACAGCAGCCTGTCTCTGCCCTCCAGGCCTACAGTCCTAGGAGGGATTCAGGCCTTCTCTTTGTGCTGCCTCTAGTCTTTTCTCCTAAACAAACACCCCAAGGCCCACAGCCAGCCAGGGAATGAATATAAACAGACTCCTAGGTTTGGAGACTTTCACTGTAGACCACACCTGGCTTTTGACAACAGGTTAAACATGTTTGCCAAATTATTTCCTATTTTGATTAATGCTTTTATTCTATATAATAGAAACACAATATAATAGAGGTTACTGTGCATCTTTTCTCAACTCCACATTCATCATACTGGTAACGAAATCATCCATGGTGGGAGTATTTACACCACAGAAATCAGTAAATGCTATAAGTCAGGACCTTTTTTTTTTTCCACTTGAGAGCCTATTATTGAACATTTACCAGGATTCCACTGTTTGGGGCCACCTGAGGAAGGAGCCCAAGGAGGTTGGTACCTTTGGAAAGTGACTCAGGGCCTTCCCAGATGGGTTGGGCTCTGCAGGGTCATTGACTGTGTTCAGGCATCTCCTTTGCAGGGGAGGCCCCTCCATGTTTGAGGTGGTGTAGGTTCATGCGCCTGCCCTCTCTCCCTACCTTCTCCCCTCAGATCGAAGCCAGGACAGCACAGCTGTGGCACTCTCAGACTCCAGCTCGACACAGGACTTCTTTAATGAGCCCACCACCTTGCTGGAGGGCTCCCGGAAGCCTTATGCAGAGAAGAGGTTACCTGCATTCAGTGCCCAAGCAGGATCAACCAATAAAGACCTCCAAGGGCCCACAGAGGAAAGAGGTATGAAGACCTACTTCAGTGATGTCTGGTAGCATTCTGAGCAGAGCTGAAGACTATAGGCATCACAGGGCACTAGGCGTGGCCTGGCTTCTGTCTTTGTGCCTCTGCCTGCTGTCCTCTCAGTTGAGCAAGTTACTTCCCTCTCTGAGGGAACCTCTGTTGTTCTCCCTATAGGATGGGAGTGATCCCAGTACCCAGGGTTGTAAGGATTAAATGGAGTCTGATACCCTGTGTATGCTCAGGAACTCTTGTCGTTTTTAGGACCCCCACAACCCAATCTGGGCTTTTCTTCTTGGTAAATGGTTATTTAAAACTGTCTTGGAATTCTAAATGTCACAAATTTGTTTTCTTTTTAGTCTGAATCAAATCAGACCTCTATGGAAAAAAAATGTCCCTATTTTGAACAGAAGGCCTTGATTGAAGCCCAGGATATACTCCAGAGTAGCCTCTGGGGAGCTGGGATGGCGGGTGGCTGAGAAAGGCTCTGAGAGTGACTGCTCGCTCACATTCTTACCTCAACAAGAAGAGTGATGATGGTCGAGGGTTCCATACATTGGATGTCTGCCTAGTTACACTTGCACATAGTCTGAGGGAAACTTGGGTCTTAGTCCTTGTCCGCTGAGCTCTGTCCCAGCAGGCCCCAGATCCTCTAGGCCTCTCCTACATTAAGGAACAGGGCTGCCAGGAGTTCAACCCATAATGCATACTGCCTTCAGAGTGGGCGCTGTTGGCTCTCTGTTTACCTCTTGTAGGCAGAATGTGCAACATGTGCAAGAGCTATGGGCCAAAGGCCACCTTGTCACTGCCCTGGTCCTCCCCATAGCCCCTTCCCTTTCTTCTGTCCTTCCCTCCTGGGCCAGACAGCCTTCTCTGTTTGCATCCAAGGTGCTTACTCTTTAGGAACTAGCCTGAGACCACCCAGCCCTTGTCAACATCCTGGGGCTCAGCCTGGGCTCTCCTGTGCTGCCTGGCTTCACTGGTCCCTGACGGAGCAGGGCTGGGTATTCAGCTTCTGTGCTCCCATCAGGTGGGATCTGTGCATAAACTCTTGGCTCACACACAGCAGCCCTGGAGAGGGATGTTGGATAGGCTATGGCCTGAGGCCCCGAGAAGTGGAACCAGGGAGCCTTTTAGGCTGTTTTATTGATGATGGTGGTAACAACACCTACCTTCTGTGGGTTGCTTCCCCAGACACTGCACTGGCCCTGGAGGTGGGACAACCTGTGCTGCCATTCAGTGGAGAAGAGCCAGAGGCAGATTGTAACTCCTAGTTTTTCTAGCCCTTGGGTCCCTCTGCTGAGAGACAACCTGGAACTCCTGTTTTACAGAGCAAGAGGCCGGATGGCCACAGGCCTCAGCCAGTTGTGGCAGAGGCAGTGCTGGGCCCTATACCTTCCACTGGTAGGCCCAGTGTCCGTCCAGCACAGGCACCAACCCAGCTGTGCTGAGTATCTCACTGAGGTGCGTACATCACTGGTCATGGTTGGCTGCACTGGCAAGACCTGAATTCAGGGTGACTCTCTTTTTCTTCTTTTCAATTGTAGGAAAGACTGAGGAATCCTTGGAGAGCACAGAAGGCTTCCAGGCTACAGAGCAAAGCATCCAGAAACCTGCTGCAGACCTCACCGCCTTGGTTTGCGTACCTGTCAAGCCCCTGGTGTCTGCATCTGCTTTGTGGGATGGGAAAAAGAAGGTTGACCCTCCCGGGGAGCCAGTAGCTTTCCCTCAGGGACTGCCAGCTGGTGCCGAAGAACAGCGCCAGTTCCTTACAGAACAGTGCATTGCTTCCTTTCACCTGTGCCTGAGCCGCTTCCCTCAGCACTACAAGAGTCTCTACCGACTGGCCTTCCTCTACACCTACAGCAAGACCCACCGGGTGAGTGGGGTCTGGAAGAGAGAGGACAGGCTGGTGTCCTTAAAGGTTGGTGGGCAGAACCTAGACAGATCAGGACTTTGTGATAGGGCTTGGATAGTTTGCATGGGAAGGATGGAGAGGAGAGCTGTGGAGACAATGACCAGTCCAAAGTGAGCCCGCTTGTCTTGAGCCTCAGCCCTCCAGCTGTGTCTTGCAGAGGCCCCCTTGACGTCTTCCTGCCCCTCAGCTCGACGCCCTGGTGCAGCTGCCAGAACTATCTTCACTGCCTCTGCTTCGTGGGGGTTGGGTGCTGACAGCCAGCTCTAACTCTTTTTGGAAAGCAACAGCTGTGCCCCAGACCTGAGCACTCCCAGGGGCTTCTCAACCAGACCTCTTGTGCTGGCATTTAGCATTTGTGGGGGATTGCGGTGACTTTCCTTTTCTTCATTCTCTCCTCGCTCACCCAGGAGAAGTTGTGGGGAGACAGTGCCTCTGGCTGTGGTGCCTACTCTCTGCACTGTAAGGGTGCAAGTCCGATTGTGACCAATGCTACAAGAAAACAGTGAGGTGCACAGGAGCAGGGCTCTTGCTGTAGCTACATTATGGTACCTTCTGTGCCAGGACCTGTAGTGTCAGTGGGGAAGCAGTAGCAAGCTGGAGAAAAGGGAGAGCACCCAGCCAGGGCTGGCAGCCTGGGAAAATGGCTTTGTGGTGAAGAGTGGGGTGGGCAGGGGACAGGGTGCCTGTGAGGTTCCTCTGACATAGGCCTTTGTCTGAGTCACTTAACTCAGTCAGACTCTCCACACAGCCCCCGCTATTCCCCATATTTGACCCCTGCTACCTTTTCTGTGGGGTATTTGAACCAGGAGGGGCAATTGACCAGAGAGATGGACCTTGTCTTGGCACTTGTTACTTCACAGAATTCTGTTTGGGGAACTAGGCACTAGGGTCCAAGAAACTATGTACTTTGTCCCTGCAGTGACTGAGACATTCATGTGGCTCGGCCAGGTTACTTAGAGCACAGTGGGGGGAGTTGGCCTCAGTAGGCCTGCGGAGGGAGATATCATCATCCTCAGGGGCTTGGTCTGTGAGGTTTGGGCAGGTTTTGGCCTTTTCAGCTGCCCTCTGCTTTTCAGTGCTGCTGCTGCACACAGGAACATAGCCTGCCCACTGCCTAGCCTGTAGTTGGCAGTGGACCTTACCTTTGTGCCCTGGACCTTCTTTCTTGGGAATTGGGTTTTAATAAACCCCAATCAGCACATGTCCTCGCTGCTGAAGCACTTTGCGGGCCAGAGGGGCAATGTCTGATACAACTCCTCCATCCTTCCTACCCCACCACCTCTTTGAGAGTTTCCCCTGTCCCCGGTTATGAGAGTAGTAGAGCCCTCTCCAGTCTTGGTGGGAGGGACACTATCAGCCATAAAGTTCTCCCTCACCTTCCCCATGTAGCTGTGCAGACCTCACCAGCTGTGTTCCACTGTGGTGGTCGGCTCTGACCAGGACACAGCGCCTCTGGTGCCATGCTCAGTCCTTTCTCCCACACTGTTACAGGATGCTTTCCCCAGAGCAGATGCTGAGATGGAATTCTGGGTGCAAAATGGTCAGTAGGTATTGGCACCTATGGAAGGGAGGAGAAGGATGCAAGCTTGGGTGGTAGGAGAATTGAGCTATGTGCAGGCCCTGCGAAGCCTGGCCACCCAGCCTCCACGTCCCACTAAAGGGCTTCATTTTGAGCCTGATGGAGCCAATGCACATAAAGCACTCAGCACAGAACTGGGCATAGACTGCTGTTATTACAGCCTGTCCCTCTTATCTGATGAGATTTTTCAAAGTAGGAAGAGTATTTGTGTCCAAATTAGAGAAAATTGGAATGGGGGATGACCGCAATTCCTACCCCTCAAAACAAAAACTGACCGCAATTCCTACCCCTCAAAACAAAAACTGTTTCATATTTTACGTTTCCTCTGGCTTTTCATATATGCACTGCTGATTATCTGCTTCCAAGGCACCAGTCACTTCAGGACTTGCAGGAGGGGGACATGTCCTTTCTCCTTTACAGCTGGGAAGCTGGGCTTGGGGCGACATGGCTTAGAGGCAGAGCCAGGCATCAGCCAGGGTAACCTCACCCAGAGCCCATTTGCTGTATTGCCCTCACGTTGTCAAGCCTGTCTACCCTAAGTGTGTTTGCCATTTTGCTCTCTTTATGAACATCTACTGGGTCATTGTGGTTGTGTCCCTGGGATGGATAGATGCCAGCCCATCCCCATTGGTGGGAATTGTCTGCACCATTGATGTCTCTGTCCTTGGGCAAACCCCATTGCTGTCACACCCAGTTTCTGCTGGCCTTTCTGTTAGCTGTGTTCCTAGGTTGGGTTCCTTAGTTTTTGAAAATGGAATGCTGTCCTTGATGCTTAAATGAGACCCCTTATGGGGCAGAAATCCCCTTCCTGCATCTACCCCAAGTACTCTTACCCTGGCTCCGTTGTCATCTTCATCCAGAGACTGCTGAATACTAGTTGCTGCCACCAACCTGATTGCCGGGTCATTGACACCTCACTCCACTGAGAACCTGAGTCGAGACTTGCTGCTCGGGGCTTGCCTCTGTCCTGGAGGCAGGGTCTTGGTGGCACCTCTGCTGGCAGCTCTTCTAGCAGCAGCTTGTCCCCAGAGTTGAGGACACAACTCACTCTGTTGCTGACTAATTCAGAACCATTAACTGACAAGCAGTGGCCACTTTCCTAACGCAGCTGTTTGGTAACAAACACTTCCCACTGTGTATTTGATAACAGACTATTTCTGCATAAATCCTGCCTATGCGCTTGGCAGTGGCATTTTCTTTTTACTGTCTTGTGGCTCAGTGGCCGACTGGAGTGTCAGATATCTTCGTCTTAAGAGGGACCCAGCAGACATTCAGCCTACCCAGAGCTGAATGGCTGACTCCTGATCTCTCCTAAACTTTCACAAGTGTCCCCAGGTGAGGCTCAGCTCATTTCAGATCCTGCTCAGGCCTTGCAAAGAAATTGTCTTCAGGGTATAGGGTGCCACTTCTTTTACTGTTGGCAGCAAGGAGTTTTGAGAAGGGGAAGAAAACATGGCTTCTGAGGCTGGTCATGCCTGGCTCAGATCCCAGCTCTGTGATGGGAGCTTTTGGAGACTGAGGCTCTTTCATTAAATGGGAATGAGGATAATATGCATGTGGGTTTCCCAGGTGGTTCCTAGCAGTCAGCAGCCCTTCTGCTCTAGCTGGGCCATTTCCTCAGTCTCAGTATCTCTATGTCTCCCTGCTCCTCTGATAAGCCTTCTGAGGATTCCCTGCTTAGGCTTAGTTGCATAGGGCTGTCTGCCCCTGACGCATCCTGAGACCTTTCTGAGGCTGCCCTCTTACCAAAGGTTGGCTTTGAGGCATACCCCTCCCCGTAGGTAGGCATCCTCCTGGCGTATACTGGGTGCAAGGGTGCCTGACCACAGGACTCCAGAACACTCTCCACATGTAGATGGGGAAAATCACTTGTGTCAAAAGCCTCAAGGGTGCTAAATTCTAGCATCTGTTTTACTTGCATCTCTAGAATCATGGTCTTGGCCAAGATTTTTATCCTGATCTGCCAGTCCATACTCAAAACCCTGAGCCCTGAGCCTTCTTATGCACCCCAAGAGATGAGGGCGTATGGCTTCAGGACACCTTTTGTCATAAGGACTCTGGCCTTCATTAATGGGGATCTGGAAGAAGGGCAAGATGTGGCTACCCCTGCCTTGCTATCCTGTACCTTCTGTTGACCCTTCTGCTGTAACCATTGCATGGGGTCCAGGGCAGAGGGGCTGATAAGATGGGCCCTGGAGGCAAACCACTATGAAAAGGAACAAATTTAGAAACTCACACTTTTCATTTTCAAAATGTACTACAAATCTACAGTAACCCAAACAATGAACAGTATTCAGGCTTTAAAAGGAGGAAAATACTGTCATATGCAATTACATGGATGAACGTGGAGGACGCTGTGCTAAGTGAAATAAGCCAGTTACAAAAAGACACATATTGTATGATTCTACTCATATGAGTTAAAAGGGGGCGACTGGCTCCCCTTGGCCTGTTTAGATCCCATTCTTTGGCCCAGGACCTCTATGGGGTGAGCCCAATTTCTGGGTTGGTTTGGAGGCTCACTTCCACTGTGAAGCCCACAGCGCTGGTGTTTTCTGCTATGAGATCTCCACGAAAGCCATGGCTCTTTGTCAGTGAGTCACCTTGTACTCTGCTGTGAGCCTAGGAATCCCTGCTGCAAAACCCAGCTGGCCAGCTGGCTCTGAAACTGCCCTTTGCCCATCTCTGTGGGGTAGTGCACTTTACCTCTCTCTGCCATTAGCTCAACATGGGCACCTATGGCAACCTCAGAACTATTGTACAGAGTAGAGAGGGCCTCCGGGAGAGCTCTGCACCATTAGACTGGAGTGGGTGTGAGAGATGATCATCCAGGTTGTGATGCAGAGGCTGTAAGATCTTGCTTTGAGGTGGAGGTGGTGAGCTTCGAGTTCCACACTGCCCGAGCCTTCACAGAGCAAGACAATGGGACCAAGAATCATGAGGGTGTGCCAGCCACAGAGCAGGGCATTGCCACCTTCCTTCAAGCCCTACTCCCTTTCTATGCCCACACAACAAAATGGTGCTACGCCTAGTGTTTTACACAGGTGGCCTGCTCTACTGCAACCCCCCAGCATGTACTTCACTTTTTATAGCTCGCAAAATAAGTCCTACTTGGCCGGGCGTGGTGGCGCACGCCTGTAATCCCAGCACTTGGGAGGCTGAGGCAGGAGGATTGCTGTGAGTGGGAGACTAGCCTGGGCTACATAGTGAGTTCCAGGTCAGTCTCAACTACATAGTGAGACCCTGTTTCAAAAAACAAAACAAAACAAAAAGTCCTACTTTATTGTGCATTTAAAGTCTCTTGTCACCTTGCTTGAAGATTGTGCTGGGCCTTTAGGGACCACAGAAGGTGAGACAGGTTCCCCCATGAAGACTGCTGCTTTCC